TCAAAGGAGAAATACATGTTGCTGAACAATATATTGAGATGCTATAGACAATTTATCTATGTAGAAAAAGTTCTGGAAAGCACATCCATAGCAGTGTCCCTGGGAAGACACTAGGAACTTTACTTTCTGACTTTTCTAGTGTTTAAACAAAAGAAAGCTGAAAAAAGGTTATCAGTAAGTTAAGTGTGATAAGGTATAAAGAAAGGAATGTAACATTAAGTACCTAATTCTGCTTGCCTAAGTTGGGGAAAGCTTAGATAATGTTTTCCTTTGGGCACAGAAATAGACATTCCAGTCTGAGCAAATAGCAAGTTCAGTAGCACCCAGATCCTAAAGGGTCTATAGAGGGTTCCAGGAATGGCAACTGGTGCTGGAGGGTGGTTTCAAGGGAGTAGAATTTGAGACTGAGGTGGGCATAGATTGCAGTGCCTCAAGTATTAATAAGAAATATAGACCTGACCTAGTCAGTGGAGACTCTTTGGAGGTTATTAGCTTTTTTAAAATACATTCTTCATTTTGGAGCAATTTTAGATTTACAGAGAAGTTGCCAAGATAGTAGAGAGATCTTGTATAACCCCTCACCATTTGTCTACCTTCATGTTATCTCACATTACCATGGTGCATTTGTCAAAACTAAGAAACCGACACTGGTATATCATTAACAAATTCCAGACTATTCAGTTCTTTCTGTTCCAGGAGCCTATCCAGGATCCCCCATCATACTTTGTTGTCATGTTTCCTTAGTCTTTTCTGTGAGTTTCTTTGTTTTCATGACCTCAACAGTTTTGGGAGGTAGTGATCAGTTTGTAGAATGTTCCTCAATTTGTGTTTATCTGTTTTCTCATGATTTGACTGGTGTTGAGGGTTTAAAAAAAAAAAAAAAGTAACAGAGGTGAAGTGCCTTTCTTATCACATCATATTAGAGGGCACATGATGTCCATGTCATCATTTATGTTCACCTTGATCACTTTGTTAAGGTAGTATTGGCCAGGTTCCTCCATTGTAAGCTTCCCAGAAAGTTTTCCTCTTCTCACATTTGTCTGGTTTTTATTTATTTTAATGTTTTTATTGATTTTTAGAGGGAGAGACACCTATACATCGATGAGAAACATTGATCAGCTGCTTCCTGCATGTCCCCTACTAGGATCGAGCCTACATCCTGGGCATGTGCAAAAGATGTATGATTCTATTTATATGAAACGTCCAGAATAGGCAAATCTATAGTGATGTGTTAGGTGTGTGTATGGGGGGTGGAGGAACTGGGCTATAATAGTAAATGGTATAGGTTTTCTTTTGGGGATCATGAAAATGTTCTAAAATTGATGGTGATGATTGTACAACTCTGTGAATATACTAAAAGCCACTGAACTGTACACTTGAAATATGTGAATTGTATGTGAATTATATCTTAATAAAATTCTTATCAGAAAGCCAAGGAACACATGGCAGGGCAACTATACTCATTCAAATTACACTCTTTCAAGCTAAAGTGACGGACCGTACAGCTATTAAATTCCAAGTTTGTGCTTGAATACCTGCCTAAAAAATAATAACATGACCAATAGTAAGTACTATTTAAATTTTTATTAATAAAACAGAAAACAAAAGTCAGACAACTGCTTTGTTACTCTTTGATCTGACCATATGCCAGATAAGTGATTCTTTATGAGGAGGTAGGAAAGAACTGTCAGTATACCAGTTCCATTAAAAATGGCATACTGGAATATCTAATAAAGTTAGGTAAATGAAATTATAAAGAGAACAAATTAAATATTAAAAGTAACAAGAATCTATCCCTCAAATATCAGGGATCTCCTTTAACAGTCTTCAATGCAGCTCATTTGCAATTAAGATCAATCATATTGCATAACCCCCAAAGGAAAAAACTGAGGGAACTCATGGATAATTTTCACAGCTTCATTGTAAAGTCCAAGATCTGAAAAAAAACATTTTAGCAAACATTTAATCTACAGTGGAAAGTTGTGATATCAACTACTATCTAAACATTTCTACCTCTTTCTCTTTTACCTCCCTTTCTGTCAACTTATTTTCCCAATCCATCTTCTAAAACTGAGATATGGACCATCATATTTATTTAACTGTGGCTCCAAAAAATGAAAGACATGGGGGATAGGAGATCATCCATTGTATTGTTGTGTTTTAGGTCTTATACATTATTTGATGGCTTTAATCCATATATTAAAACAAAACAAAAAAGATTAACATTATTTTTGTTTGGCTTAAAAAAATTATTTCCACAAATATTAAAATTTACTGAGTTTCTTACAAATACACACACTACTTAGAAGCAGGGCAAAATGTCCTCCCATTTTCGAGATCAGAAAATTCTATAGAAATTGAAAATGTAGCAGGACTGAGACTAAAGAATAAAATTTGTTTTTCTCCTAAATACATGAGACTAAATGCTTTATTTACCAAAAGGATGGTTATCTTCTTTAAACTGGACATAAGATGAGCACATAATGGTTGCCTTGGCTGTTACTCTTCCAACTACTTCCACGATTCCAGAGATTTCTTCATCAAGCTAACAACACAAAGAACAAAATACCAACTTCATGTTATCACATTTTCAGTTGATAATTAACTCGGAAAATTGTTATATCTTTCATTTCATGTATCAAAATAATTAAAAATTTACCAATGCCAAAAGTGAAGTGCAACCTGTTAAAAAATGTTTTGAGTACTTGCTGTCAGCATGTCACAACTCCTGTTAACCTTTAGCTATAGCTCCAGGTCCAAAGATACAGCTGAACATTTAAGTTGAAGACAAAATCACTTAAAGATACTGAAACTGTCCAGCAGTTTTACAAGGAGTAATTTGTTCAAAAAGACCAATGAAAGGAACCTTCTATTACCTATTATCTTGCACAGTATATTCTGTATACATGAACCATACAGCATATGCATTTGTCTTAATAAAAGACAAAGAAAATGTAAATATGAAATATAAAGACAAATTAAGTGACAATTGAAAATATATGTAAACAAAAATAGAAAACAGGATTTAAAAAAATATCATATTCATGTTTCCTTAAGGAAGAAAAGTGATTTAAACAAAAGATTTACCTTTGATTTACCATGATTTTATGGTCTTTCAAAAGACATGAGAATTCTCACCTAGCATTTAAGGGATGTATTAAAAAAATCATGGAGTCCAAATAATCATTGGTTAGACATGTAAAGGGAAATAGAATGTAATACAAGGACAAAAATGGACGTTTACAGCCAGGGAAGTTTTACAAGCTGATCCTTTATACATCCACTCCAAGAACCAAAAATATCAGCAACAACCCAAAACAAGATGTAGAATTAACTCTAATGTGCATAGAATTAATACTTGAACGTACAGGCTCCATCAACTCAATGGTTGCACTTTTCCCTTCTCCATCTGAAAGAATAAACATTTTTCCAGTGGGATGAATCTAAAAAAGAAATACACAATGAAAAAATAAATCCGACATAAAACCTTTAAAATCTCATTAAAATAAAAATATTAATTTGACAAAAGATGGGTAGGTTGACCCAAACTTTTGTAATAGACACGTGTGTGCAAAGTAATTGTTTTTTGACGTTTATTTGGTTCAAATTATAATCTTGTGTCACTGTATCCATTCAAACGACCCCGTTATATTTCAATTTCCAGATGAACACCTTTTTTAGTATAAATATGTCCTGTATTTTTATTTGCTATATCATACAACCCTATGCTAAAAACTAAAGGGAGTCCATACTATCTAAAAATGAACTCTGCTGGGACCCATGATTTAAATAGTACATATTCCATTGAGGGTATGTTTTAAAAATCAGGCATGATTTAGTAAAGAGAATCAGTTGTCAAAAGATCTGGGTTCTAGGCTTGTGAGACAGCTGCGAAGTGTGCAGTCAGGTCTGTTTTGAGTGCTAGCTTTGCTACTTGATGTGGCCTTGAGCATTTTTGGTTTGAATCTTTTAAATTATTTTCTTTTAATCTTTATTAAAGTATTACATAGGTTCTCTTTTTCCCCCATTCCCCCCCTTCCAGGCCCTCACCATCCCATTATCTGTGTCCACGGGTTATGTATAAATGCATACAAGTTCATTGGTTGATCTACACTACTTCTACCAAATTTCCCTACCTGTGAAGTCAGAATAACACCTATTTCAAAAAAAGGTTGTGTGGCTGATATTACTAAGCCTTTATATAATATTCGTTTTCTTTCAGCTTTCTAACCTGGTTCACCGATTCTGAGGGGCCTGTTTCTCACCAGGAGGAAGAAGGGGCTGCACTCTAACACTGGGATACGGTAACAGACAGCTATGGGATCTGCAAGGGGCAATCGAGGAATGTTTTATCGAGAAGTGATTTCAAGGAAAAACGAGGTTGGAGAAGGAGAATTACAGAAGAGAAGAAAACAAGAAAATCAGACTAGCCGTCAAGTCTGGCTAAACTAAAATATCAAGAAAGTAGATGTGGGGGTCAAGTCTACCATTTGTTTTACGTAAACACAAACAGAACCAGGGCGGGGGCGCTAGAACTTAGAAGGGAGCGCATTCGCAAACGTTGCTATTCCGCGCCATAAAAGGGGCGCCAAAATGGGGCTGCAACAGCTAAAAAGTGCGCAAAGATAAAGCAACCGGGAGCGCAGTGATGTCAAGGCTTTCTATCTGTCCTCCTTCACCCTCCGTTACCCGTCCTAAGGCCGCCCCACGCAGTTAAGGGGTCCCTTCCTCCCCCCCCCCCCGCCCCCACGGACTATGAACAGGGAGCCGGGGGGCGAGCGCGCACCTTTTTCCAGCCTCCCTACCAAAGCAGACGGGCCCGGTCGATGGACTGGGCTAGCATGCTGGCCGTTGATACGCGACTTGGGCAACTCCATCACCTCACCATCTTTGCGGACGGAGATCGGGCGGCCGGCTGGGAAAACAGAGGCGCAAAAGTCCGGTCGCGGGCGTGCTATGGGCAGAGTTTCCTTGGCACCAATCGGCGAGAACAGGCCTTCTGGCTCCACCAATCAAACGCGCGGAAATCTCGGCCGGCCTCACGATCTCCACCAAAGGAAAGCGAAAGGAGGGACGCGAACGGAAGTTGGGGGATCTGCTGCTTAGTGACGCGCGGCGTCCCGGAAGTGGCCCCGGTCCACGTGGGCGAGGGCATGGAGGCGGGGCTTGGGTGGGGCGGGGCCTGAGGCTCGCTCCGCTGAACTCCGGCCGCCCCGAGGCAACTTGACCCCGGAAGCAGGGTGCCGGGCTGCGGTGCGGCGGGACCCTGCGGTGCGAGCCTCAGGTACCTCTTCTCGCGGGAGGCCCCGCAGCCTCACTCTTCACCCTCCTCTCCACTGACGGTGAGGAGAGAGAGGCGGAGTCGGTGCTGTCCCGGCTGTTCGCATTCCCCTATTCCCGCTCTGCCAGGCTCTGCGCGGGACGGGCGTGATTCTTGCCTGTGGAAACCTGGGGATAGGGTTGTCTTTGATGCCCGCCCTCCTAGAGATGGGAAGTGGGGTTGTCAGTGATCGCCGCCGCCTTCGCCAGGCGGCCTGCCGCGCGAGGCGGAGAATGGATGTTTACTTCCCGGGCTGCGTCACTTTCCCTCGTCAGGGCCCCCACCTGTAGGAAGAGGGGTCCCTCCGATTACCGCCGAGACCCGTTCTGGTGCTGGCGACCTGGACCCCCTGCGGAGGTGCAGGTCTTCTCACCTCCGTGTTAGCGACGTATCGGAGCATCTGGGAGTGGTCGGCAGGGGGAGGACCCCTGGACCAGGATAGGGGACGGGTTTAAATTGCTGCTGGGTTCTGACCAGCGGCGCTTCCTGACCCGTAATTTCCCCATCCGCAAAATGAGGGGGTAGATCATGGACTGTTTTGCAACTGACCAACTATTATTGTCCATATGGTTCACGGACCTTTTTAACTCCTCTGCAGTCTTTCCCCCTTGCTCTCCGCTCCCCAGGACTCTGGAGGGGGAGCTGGAGATGTGGGAGATAACCTGTCTCAAGGAGAGCTCACTGGCGCGTGTGGCTGTTGATTTTCGTGTTGTTGTTGTTTTGTTTGTTTTTGTGGTGTGTGTGTGTGTGTGTGTGTTTGCCGACTGGCACCTGACTTGCCAGGGATATTCCAGAATATGTGCTCATAAAAATCCCTGCCAGCAGTGCTGCAGAAATTGGAAAACACTTTTTATTGGATATTACTATTTTTGGGGAACTTAGTCCATGAGTTTGCCCAAGGCACTTAGTTGACATCTTTCAAATTCAGGGACCTAGCTGGAGCCTTAAGCAAATAAGATCCTTTTGAGACTTCACTGCAGCAATTTAAAATGGAAATCTAATGTGCCGTAATTAAAGGATAGTCTATCTCAGTGTTTACTTAGCAATACTTATATTTGTCTTTTAATGTTGCTATCACTAAAACACCTTTAAAGAGTTTCATTAATCGATACAGGGTGTATGTCAATTGGTCTATAAAAAAGTTGTGGTTCTATTGGTGCAAATCAATAAAATCCATTTTATATTTTTTCCAAAGACTTAATGTCTTTTGCACCTTAGTGTTGCTTTAGAAAACAAGTCAATGTGCATTATATAGGGTAGGGTAGGCATGAATATAGTCTTTAATAGCAACCCTTAAAGTACCAGATGCTAATATCATTGTTCTATTACAGTTAAAAGATCACTCTTACCTTCCAACAGCAAACAAAACATGGAGACAAGCAGGAAGATAACTTAAAACAGCTTTTTGGATATATTTTGAGTCACTTAAAATTTATTATGTAATACTACAACAACATATAGATAAATGTAAATATGGCCAGTATGTATTCAGTACTTTCCAGAGAGATTAAATGAACTCATTCAGCTAAAGAAATGGACCTTTACCACTTAGTAGTTTGTACTTCCTCAATTAAGTCCTTCTCCCTACCAGCCAGAAAGCAACACTATCTGGAAAACACTAAGCTTTTCTATATATTTTTATTTACACATGCAGACATTCCTAAATGGAATGTTGTTTAGTTTTTGTCAATTTTGACCTTTATAAAATTGGACTCATACCATATATATCTTCTGAGTTTCTTTTGCTTGTTTTTGAGATTAATCCATGTTGACACATGTAGGTGGAGTTCATTTTTTTAAATTCTTTTTTGCTGTCTTGACTGACATTTTGATTATTTGAAGTTCATTTCTATTGTGTACAGGGCTTCTGTGAATATTTTAGTACATATTTGTTGGTGCACTTGTGCAAAAGTATATCAGTAGAATTGTTGGAACATAGGGCGTGCATCTTCAGCTTTACTATAAAACCAAAATTTTCCCCAAGTAGTGGTACTAGTTTATTCTCTTATCAGGAGAGTAGGAGAGTTCCATTTGATCCACATTTTTTTGGCAATGAAGTCCCCCCTGCCCTTCTAAACTTATGGATATGAGATGGTTTCATGTTGTGGTTGTAATTGGCTTTCTCTGATTACTAACAAGGTTGTACAGCTTATCAAATATTTATTGGCTATTTGTGTTTACCTTTTTTTTGTTTGAGGATTTTTCTTAGATTTTTGAGAGCTTTTGTATTAGTATGGATAATAATGTTGCATTTCTCAGTTTAGGCCTTTCAATTTTTTTATTCTTTCTGACTTTCTTTCCTTTTTCCCCCCTTTCATTGGCAAGAGCTCCTACTTTTAATATAGTTAAAATGTTTTTCCCTGAAGTTTAAAATAGTTGAAAAGTCAATTTAAAAAATCTAATTTAAGAATCATTTCTTAAAACAAGTTCTATATTTTTTAAAGATTTGAAATAGTTTTATCTTTCATATTCAAAACTACTCCATCATTTAGAATTGAGTTTTCATGTATGTTGTCAGATATCCAATTTCTTTGTTTTGTTTTCATTTCAATTGTTTTGTTATCATTTTTGACTGTGACCTTTTGCCATTGACCTCTCACTCTCTTCAACACTGTGGCCTTTTAACTCTGATGTCTTGAGGAAAGTTCTTTTACCTTGCTCTGTTCTTCAGGAATGTGTAGTTATTCTTGGCTCTTTGCTACTTCATATACAATTAAGCATGTCAGGTTCCATGGGAAACTGTGTTGGGATTGGATCACAATTGCATTTGAATCCTTGGATTGATTTCAGAAGTAACATCATAATGACAACTCTTACTATTCTTGAGTTATTTTGGTCCTCTTAAAATCTTTCCAAAAAGTTTCTTAATATTTTTCATAAAGGTTTTGATTTTTAGGTTAGATTTATTCCTAGGTAACTTGTTGCTATTATAAATGCTTTTTAAAAATGTTTTCTTGAAATATATTTTTATTGATTTCAGAGAGGAAGGGAGAGGGAGAGATAGAAACATCAATAAGAGAGAATCATTGATTGGCTGCCTCCTGCATGCCCCCTGCTGGGGATTGAACCCGCAACCCAGGCATGTGCCCCTGACCGGAATCGAACCCAGGACCCTTCAGCCCGCAGGCCAATGCTCTATCCACTGAGCCAAACCAGCTGGGGCTATAAATGGTATTTTTAAATTAAAGATTTTTAACTATTTTTGCTGGTATATAGAAATGCATTTGACTTTTTTCTGGCCATCCTGCTAAAGTCATTTCTTGTAATTTTCTATAAAATCAATTTTCTATTCATATGTGAATAATTTGTTTTTTAACAGTTCTTACACATTTTATTTTTCTTGCTTTTCCCCAGGTTAGAACTTCCAGTACCATTTTGAATAGAAATGGTGTTTCAGTTAAGATGGGATTTGACTGCATAAGTAAAAGTCTTAAATATACAAAGGCTGCCCTGGCCATGTAGCTCAGTTGGTTAGAGCGTTGTCCCAATATGCCAAGGTTGTGGGTTCTATCCCTGATCAAGGCACATATAAGAAGCAACCAATGAATGCATAAATAAGTGGAAAAGTAATATCTCTCTCTCTCTCTCTCTCTCTCTCTCTCTCTCTCTCTCAGTATCTGGTATCTGGTATCTGGTTCCATTCTTAAGGTCGCCTCAAGGGCTAGGGGCTAGGATAGATGCAGGGGCATCAACCATCTACTTCCCATTCCAGACAGCAGAGAAGTAGTCAGGCAAAAGGGTGTGCCTTCATGGGGCTCAGCTCCCTTTAAGGAGCCTTCCTGGAAGTTCTTGACAACTTGGAGTTCTGATTATTAGGTTAAGGACTTTCCCATCTATTCCCTGTTTGATAAGCATTTTAATTGAGTGATTATATTTGATCAGTTTTTTTGCCTTAATTGAGATGATTAAAATGAATACATTTTCCAATATTGAACCATGCTCACAATTCTGGAAGAAACACAACTTGGTTTTGATATATTCTTTTATTATATATTGGGGTTGATATTGTTTTGTTTAGGATTTTTGCATCATAAAAATTCATGGGGGAGATTAGCCTATAATTTTTCCCCCCTGTATAGTCCTTGTCAGATTCTGGTTGTTAGGGTTGTGCTAGTCTCATGACATGAGTTGTTGAGTCTTTCCTCTGCTCTCTTGGATTCTGTGTAAAATTGAATTGGTCTGCTTGTCAACTGTTTGGTAGAACTCACCTGTAAAACATTCTGCATCTGTTATATGTTTTATTGTGTTTTGCTTTATTGCCCTTCACAGATGTTGCATTTTTATAAGCTGAAGGCAAGATCATCCACCAGCAAAAAGATTATGACTCACTGTATTGTGATACTTGCTTTATTGCGGTGGTCTGGAACCGAAACGCAGTATCTTGAGGTATGCCTGTGGTTCCCTGAACCTGCTGTTTCAGGCATGTCCCACAAGTTTTCATAAGTAGATGTTCATCATCATTAGGTTGTAAATATTTTCTAGTTTCCAACCTATTTCTCCTTTGACTCATGGTTTTTGTTTCCAAATGAATTGGTTTTATTTATTGAAGTTATTTGTTTTGTTATTAATTTCTAATGTAATTGGATTATCTTTCAAAGTCTATGTGACTTGCTGTAAGGCTTATCAAGTACATGGCAATTTTTGTAAATATTTCATGTGTGCTTGGAAAAAATTGCATTTTTCAATTGTTGGAATCAAGCTTGTAAATTGCATTTTTCAACTATTTCTATGTTATTACCTTTTGTCTGATTAATATCTCAATTGAGATAATTGTGCTAAGTATCCAACAGATATTGGCAGTTTTTTCTTGAATTTTTGATGACTTGTACTATGTATTTTTGAAGATTTGTTATTCGGTTCATACAAGATTAGGATTGCGAAGTAAATGGTTAAATGAAGTAGTGAGTATCTCAGATCATGCTTTTTGCCTTAAAGTTAATTTTCTCAGCTACTATCAAAGACACACCAGCTTTCTTTTGGTTAGAATTTGTTCATTGCATTTTTTTCCATCTTCTACTTCACCTAAGGGCTTGGATTGCTCATTTCCTCATCTCTTTGGTGTTTATCAGGGCTGACTTGGCAGGTCTTAACTCAAGGGAAGAACAGACACCTTTTTAACTGCGAGGCTTCCATTATAACAGAATTGCCCAGATGTGTGGAGGCTGGATTCCTCTCTGTGGTACACTAGAGTTTAGTGGATGATGAGTGCTTTGTACTTCTCTGCTTGTTAGGTTTCCTCGATAAACCTTATTTGATATTTATACTCTGTGGTATTTGTGTCTGTATTGGCCTTATGACTTCCAGCTTTTCTGTGCCCTTAAGTTTTAGGTGTGTCTCTTGTAAATATTGCCTATAGCTAAAGGTTTAACATTTCTATATTTTGTCCATTTACATTGATTGTTGTTACTGATATTTTTTGAATCATTTCTATAGTCACTTTGTGCTTTCTGTGTTCCGCTTTTTAAATTTTTCTCCTTTCTTGGGATAATCTAATTTGCCAGCTCTAGTCACTTGTCCATAACGCCATCCAAACAGCTATGGCGTGGAAGGAGATTTGGGGAGGATTGGGTACAAACATGGCTACTGAGAGTTTACGATGTTGAAAAGATACCCAAGGGGGTTGCAGTCACCCATAATGGGGATAATGGTCAGCTGAACCCAAGTGCTAGTGGCCGTAGGAGAGAGGGAAGCCAAAAGTTTCATGAGATATCATGAGCTGCAGGACTTAGTGTTTGGTGGACAGGGAGAGGGTGAAATGAAGGTGACACGGTTTTGTTTCCAGCAGCTGTTCGGACCATCATGCTTTGAGGTGGAGAGTAGAATAGTTCTGGGAAGATGACTCAGGCGTGGACATTGAGTCTGTGTAGCACAGAGTGAAGAACATAGACTTAGGGCAAACAGCCTAGTTTAAATCCTGATACTTTCACTTAAGTGATTTCTGGACAAATTATTCATCCTTTTATAGTTGCAATATTTGTATCAACATGGGAGGTAAAGCTTCATATGATTGTAAGCGTGAGAGAAAATTGTGTTTGTAAAGCATTGGGCACAGTGCCATGGTACACTGAGTACTTCAGTAATAAATTACAAACTATGACTGTTACTAGCACGGCCAGGTTGTCCTTAAGTATGTTGGACATCTTAGTGATGATGAACAATAAAATAGCGAAGGGAGAAGGAAACCGTGTTTCCCCAGAAGGAAGTGTGTGGGCTTGTCTGAGAGTGGAGATCCTGAATCTATCTGAGTTTTATGCCTTTCTGCTCAGCAGCTTGGATGTAAGAGACTGGTTTTCCACAACCATTTGAATATTACCAAGATGTTTTCTCTACTTACCAACAGTTTCTTGTGGAAAATAATCATCAGAGAAATAGCCTTCTAAATCTTTGGGTCCATATTTTCCCTCCTTTATGTTATCGTATTCTGGTAATCTCTTATTGAAGGAGAGACTGGGTGGGTGCGATTACCTTAGTCTCCCTCTCTGAACTTTACTGCATGCAGCTTCTTGTTCCACGTCTACAGACGGATGCACATGCTGTTCGGTTCCCACTGGCTGACTGGCACTCATCATATGTGGGTGCTGGGCTGAGAGTCTGAACATAGAGGAGACCTCCTTCCTGGCTCTGCTCATGGAGCTTTTTCCATCTGGGACCCTGTTTTACAGTCCTCCTAGGGCAGGTACAAACCATTGACCTTCGAATGGAGGTGGATGACCTCCTGAGGGAGGGGTCAGGATTGGGGAGGGGACCTAGTTCTGCCTGTCTTTAGATAGAGTTTTCAGGCAGTGGGGTGTCTGGCAGCCTATTTTTTCCCTGTAGGTACAACTTCTGTATTTTAGAATTAAGTTAAGGCAATGGAAATGGATGAAATACTTTCCCCATCTTTGTGGTTCACTCTCCAGTTTTAGTTTGCTTGTTTATTCACGTATTCATGCATTCCTTGGAGAGAAGGAGCAGCGTGTGGCAGAGAGTACAGCGATGAACTCTTGGTCACTTGTACTTCTTGGCCTGTCCCTGTTGATTGTGCTGTTCATGGAAATTTACTCAGACTTTGGCACTTGGTTGAGGCAGCTCTTGCCAGCTGTTGTCTTGTGTTATCTTTATGTGCACTTTGATGAAAAATTGGGAGGAGGTAAAACAGCCAGCTTTCTTGTTTACTCAGGAGTCTGAAGTAAGTTTCCAGACAAATAGCAATGCTTGACTAGGCTTGTTAGCAACCTGTTAGCCTCTTGCATGGCTGGTGCTAGTTTTACCCAGGACTCAGCACCATACTGTGTGGGACTGGCTTTGTGAGGGGTGACAGAGAAGCAGGCCAAAGAGGCAGCAAGAAGATTGGATATTTCCTTAAATTTGGACAAAGTGTCTTGTTTGGGTTTGTTTCTGTAGGGCCTACCACTGTGCCTGGCGAGTATTTGCCTTTTAAAACATGTTGGTTGGATTAATTAAAAATGAACAAACAACTGATTTTTTTATTTTTATTTTTATTTTTTTTGTGGCGTGGAGGGGGGTGGTGGTGGGCGGGTAGGAATTAAAGACTTGATACTGCAGTTAGATTGTATTGAAAGTCAAATGATGCAGATTTCTAGTAGACAATTTGGGGGGGGGGGTGTGGTGAGACCTTTTGGAAGCTGAATACAAGGGTTCCTGGTGTGTGTTAAATGCATTTAAGTGAGCAAATAGAGCAATTTAAAGACCGACACTGAATAATGTTTTATTTTTATTTTTATTCATTCTAGGTTTTCCCTGTGCTATAGAGAGTGTAAAGAGGTGTGGCCTTACATCGGATGACTTCCTTCTCCCTTAAGACATTATTTAAACGTGTTTACTCATCTAAGACATTTGTTTTATGTGAAGAGATGTGTTTTGGTAGAGTTGTCTGAAGTCTTTTTTAGTATGTTGTGTGTGTTTTTTTTCATTTCAGAGTTGCAACATTGAATGCAGTGGGTAGAAATTAGTATTGTATAGGTAGGTTCAGTGTTATTTAAGCCCAAACCAAAATGTGTTTTGTTTTTTGTGTGTTAGAATTATGTCTGTAACTTCATTAAAACATAAAAATATATCATATCATTGTATCATTAATTTAGAAGAGTTGGGACAACACTAAAGTCTTTAAATTATATTCTTGAGACCCAAATGATATAAATTACAAGTACAGTTTATTTATAAGCTCCAGAAAGCAACAACTTTATCTTCTAAATGTCTACATCTCCCCACACTATTTAGAAAAAATAATCTATGGTGCCACATGTACGGCATTAAAGAGAGGGAAATTGTTGTTTTCTTTTTAAAATAAAACCTCTTGAAATTAAGATGTCTTGGCTAAAGTGTATCATATACTAGGTGATCACACAGAGAAGTAAGTTACAACAAAGAATTGTCTGGACCAAAACACTAAGAATAAAGAGATGGCGAAACCTGGGTCTAATGTACTGGGAGACTCCCCCTCCCCCCACCCCCCACCCCCCCTGCCAAATTAGTAAATCAGAGACGACTTTATTATACTGTTCTATTTTTCTTTTTTTGAATAAGGGACAGTAGAAGGAAAGGTAGTCAGTTTTTACCATTGCCAGGCTACCATTTTTGATTCTGAAAATAATAGGGTAATGAAAAGGAAAACAAACAAAAATCCCCAAATCCAACAACAAAAGTACACAAAACTTCCCTGTTGATTCTAATAGGAACTTTGGGGGTCATATTTATTTACAAAGTAATGAAGATGGGTCACTTTCTATGAGGTTGGTTTTACCTCAGTGAGGTGGTCTGAGAAGAATGAAGGTTTTGTTCTAAAATTTTCTTGGGCCAACTTGTGACTGTTCAAGATGCCTTTATCATATGCTTGGAAAGCAATTCTGCTAGAGAAAATTCCAGAAAGTGAATAATTCCAGATAACGTAATGCTTTCCAGGATAGCAGGATTTTGTTATTCTAGTGATAGCTAATGATTGCAAAGCGTCTCTGGTGGTGGGTATCTTACAGGAGTGATCAGTAGCTGGCCGTTGTGATGATCAAATGAAGCCTGTGCTGCTCTCCATGGCAACAAGGCCAACTGTGAAAATCATCCCTTGTGATAAACTGGCAGCCCCTCCACCCCCCAGGGCTCTAACCTAGATTTCTGGTACTTTGTTTAAGGATTTCATGTTTGAATCCTACCTGTCCCATTTCTGAAAAGCTTTTCTGCCTTTAATATATGAAATAAAATAGGGAAGGATTTAAACTATAAAGATCAAGAAAAAAGCTATAAAATCAAGAAAAAATATCTCAGCTTAGCCCCTGTTGAAAGCTACACTGTGAAGGCCCAGGGACCTCCTTTGCCTTCTTCCGGAATCCTCCCTTGCCCAATGCTTTATAATCATGCACTTGTAGCTCCAGACCGCCGACTTTCTGAGTAGTTTAGATGTTCTGTTTTGGCTAAAAATAATACGCGTTTAATTTCTGAATTTGCTAAAAGCAACTAGACAGTCATATTAGGGAAGCGAGTTTTATTAGATCACGTCAATTCAAATTTTTAATGACTGTTATACATGCGCATGATGTTACTTTCCCAGTTAGGTGAGCAGTGAACTGTTAGGAGTGTTAAATTAGTGGACAGGCTTTCTTAAAAATGAGGCTGCCACCACCACCTTGTATTCATCTGGATATGTTAGAAAAGCTGCATGGGTTCTGGGGGCATCTCTGAGCTACTCCAGGCCAGTGGGAATGGAAGTAAGAGTTCAAGGAGAAAAAGAACAATGTAAAATTTCCTGCTGTCACAAAAGAACTTGTTCATCTATTTTTTAAATGGTTGATGGTGTGTATAAAAACGTTATAGTGTTTATAATTCATCGGATAAATGTAAAAGAATGATATCTTGGCTTTATTACAACATATAAATATTATAATATGCTAGAAATTACATCCTTTATAATTTTGAATGGAAAGTTTTAGATGACAACTTAAAAAGTACGAGGTGGGAGGGGGGGACATAAAGTTTTCAAAACATTTTTAGGGGATATGTGAGCACCAAAGTATGATTAGCGGCTTTGAAATTTTTTTGCTGGCAACCCAAATTAAGAAATACATTTCAATGACTTTGTCCATGTATCCAAAAGCAAATGTTCATAGCACATTATCATATATGATTTTCTCTCATAATATTTATGCTTCCGCTTCCTTTTCTCCTTTTCTTTTTCCTGTTTCATTCTGTTAATAAATCTGGCCATGACTCAGTAGATTGAGTTTACATCCTCTAAAGAGTTTGGACCTTGGACAAAATCTATGGATCCAAGATTCAGTTCTTTGTTTATGTTATTCCTTGAGCGGGTTGTTGTTGTTTTTTGCCTTTTTTTGTGTGTCTGGGTATAAATCAGAGAGGAAGAAATAAACTTATGTTAATACTTTAATTTCATTAATTGACTTTCAGAAGTTCTGTGGAGCTCATATGTGACATCAGTTTACATGTCTTTCCCTGATCCCCTATTCCTTATCCTCCCAGATATTACACCAATGTCACAAAACTTCAAAAAGAAAAATACCGAGGTGGGATGGAAAGACAGGGGTACAATCTTTGGGATCCTAATTGGTAGTCTGAAGTTAATGGATACATTTTTAAACAGGATAAAATCACATCTTTCGTACAGATATTAAAACCTGTCAAAGACGTCACTCATGCCCTAGCTGGTTTGGCTCAGTGCAAGAACATCAGCCTGTGGACTGAAGGGCCCCGGGTTCGATTCCATTCAAGGGCACGTGCCTGAGTTGCAGGCTCGATGCCCGGGTTGCAGGCTCGATCCCTAGTAGGGGGCGTGCAGGAGGCAGCCGATCCATGATTCTCTCTCATCATTGATGTTTCTATCTCCCTCTCGTTTCCTCTCTGAAATCAATAAAAATATATTTTAAAAAAGTTACTCATTAATTAAGGAATTAGTAAGATATTATAATGGGTTCAAAAGAACTCAAAAGTATCACTCAAAGTATTTATAGAAGAATGAGGGGATGTCCATTTTATAAATGGGTGCAAAACCGGTCACTATCCTCAGGACAGAAATTAATGCAGTCTTCCAGGTACACTTCTGTAGACAGGGCTTATTTACATGACTGTCAATGTCATACACATTACCTCCGATAGAGTTATTGCATAACCTAGTCAAAGAAAACCAGGGGTGAAGATAACCAGATAGATGAGCTAGCCAGAATATCCACTAAATGCCTAAGTCTTTCACAATTGTTTCTTATTGTGATTAGATTTACACTTTTAAACACATTCTTATTGGTCTAAAATTTTGCCATCTGAAGGCCAAATCCAGTTTGAAAAGGATTTAGGCATTCTGCAGAATATTCTTAAACATTTTGAATTTGTTGCTATCCTTTGGAAACCAGATTTTTCAAAATTTTAGGTATCCAGTTGGTCTTGAAAAATCGAACTTGGTAACACTGCGCCCACATTCCTTTATGGAACTGGTTGGCGCTGCCAATGGTGCCTCCTATTATTTTTTTAATTTTTAATATTATAATGGGTTCAAAAGAGAACTCAAAAGTATCACTCAAAGTATTACTGTAAAATAACGTGATATTTAGCTTAGAAAAAGGCAAATACTACAAAAAGAACCATAGAGTGAATAAATATAAACTGGTTGTGCATCCTAATAACAACTGTTAGGTTTGGTGTGTTTGCCATATTTTCTTTCTAAGAATATACAAACTTGTTCTCCTTTCACACACACAAAATAGAAATTACTTTTATGATTAGAAACCCTGCTTGTTTCATTTGAAAAAGCAAATAAACTAGAAAACCTACCAGACAGGATCCAATAGTATAAAACAAATTCTTCAGCTAAAAGGTTAACTCTGAGAGGACTGGTGACAGCGGCAGTTCAAGTCCCGGCCGAGTCCCACACTCAGGCATTACGGGGAGGACCTTCTGACACAGGCAACTTGAGACCTTCAAGCTACATTTCCCAGTGGTTCTTCGATGCCTTGGGATCCTCTTCAGGGGGAGAGATGCCTTTAAGCCATAGCTTCAGTCTGGTCCTGTTTTTCTTTTGTTGTCATTTATGGTGACCATAGCAAGGGCACATCTGATTACAGACTTTCTCAGCTCAGCACCTTCAAAAGCCTTTTCACTGTTTCCTCAATCAAGATCTCAAAGCCTTTTAGGGAAGGGCTCTTCCACTGGGCTCCTTGGGCATCTCCCTCCCCACAGGTGTCTTCTTTAGACTAGGCCAGTGGTTCTCAACCTTCCTAATGCGGCGACCCTTTAATACAGTTCCTCATGTTGTGGTGACCCCCAATTTCATTGTTACAAATTAAACATAATTAAAGCATAGTGATTAATCACAAAAACAATATGTAATTATATATGTGTTTTCCGATGGTCTTTGGTGACCCCTGTGAAAGGGTCGTTCGACCCCCAAAGGGGTCGCGACCCACAGGTAGAGAACCGCTGGACTAGGCCGTCGGTCTCCTTCACTCCTTGTCTCATAGAAGGCTGGTTTGCAAAACCATTATACTTGGCTGTCACACCAGGACTAAAATGTTAACTATATTGTTTCACATTTCAAAGCAGTAGAAACAACTGAGCCCTTCAGTAGAATCCAGAGGTGGTAAATTCAAAAGTCAGACTACACAATAACAGTAAACAAATCCTATATACCACTCCGGATATTCTAATATTTCCTTGACTTTTTTGTTCTTTCAATAATTTATCTGTACCTTTCTTTTGTAGTCTTATTTTCTATTGCTTATCTACATGTCTCTGTTGAGGGCACTCCCAGAGAATACATCGTGTTATTGTTCATAGTGATCCTTTTTACAGGAAAGGCCTCTTCTTTATAACTATGCCCAAACCATTGGATGAAGTTAAACTCAAGGCTACCTGTTTGTGAAGTCTACCAGGGCTCTTCTAATTCTCATTGATTCTTCTGGAATGTTTTATACTGTGTAGTGTCTCTCAAGATTAACACTACCAAAAGCATGGGTCACCTCCTTTTTTGATATCTCTCAGAATAAATTAGTAAACTTGTTATGTAAATTTGTATTATTCTTACATAATCATGCAATTCATAACCCACCATACAGAAGATGTGGAGGAAGATTAAAACATCGTTCAAGATTTTAATTTCATCTCCCTAACCGGTTTGGCTCAGTGGATAGAACATTGGCCTGTGGACTGAAAGGTCCCAGGTTCGATTCCGGTCAAGGGCATGTACCTTGGTTGCGGGCACATCCCCAGTAGGAGATGTGCAGGAGGCAGCTGATCAATGTTTCTTTCTCATCGATGTTTCTAACTCCCTCTCTGTTCCTCTCTGTAAAAAATCAATAAAATATATTTTAAA